AAGAAAAAGAATGAGTCTGCAATGTAGTACATATAAGCACAATCTTTAAAGCTACACTGTGTAAGTTTTGGGGATTTGGAGTTTTGAGATTAGATTTAAATATGGAAGGAGAACTGACTGCTGGACACGTGGAGAAAGAAAGTAAATCATACGGAAATCTTAGTGTACCTTATCAGTACAATGTTGATTTTCATTTAACACCTAAACATCGAACCAGACCTTCTTTTTGAGCCTGGGCGTGTGATGTTAATACATAAAGACATATGATGTGGTCTGAAAAACTCAGACTTTAAAATCATTATTTCAAGCTTTGCAGGGCGACTCGCAGCAATGCAGGGCCATCATATTGTAGCTTGCTCTCTTTCACCTGACTCAGTAATGCTGCTTCTTTCAATTTTAAGCAAAAAAAGGAACATAGTACAACTTTAACAAGGCAAAACTTTGCCTTAAATTGCCGTAACAAAAAGCTTTGCTCTAAATTGCTTCAACAATGCCATTTGCTGCAGAAACCCCTGTTGTTTCATATAACGCCCAACTAGTCATCAGGAGTCGTGCTTGTGTGTGTGTGCACTCATGGAAAATACAACAGCCTCATCTTCTTCCTCACTTGCTGAGTGCTTTCCACCTGCCTGCGTAAAGCTCCTAAAACAGACACACACACAAACCTATTCCGTTGCGGGCGGTTGCTTGTTTGTTCTGAGGCGCTGTACTCTCATTAGTCTCTTCCACCTGAATCTTCTGGATCAATCTGGGGCGGTCTGCTGGCAGGGTCTGTGCGTGCGTGCTTGTGTGTGTGTGTGTGTGTGTGTGTGTGTGTGTGTGTGTGAATTTGTTGCCAGGACCAACTCTCCTCAACCGCAGAGAGACAGAGTGAGGCATTCGTCTGCTCTTATTATCAGCACACCACCTCCCCGGAGGGCTAGCTCTACTCTGTGTGTGTGTGTGTGTGTGTGTGTGTGTGTGTGTGTGTGTGTGTGTGTTGGGGGCTAAAGCCTGCTACACTGAAGCCTTTCGACAGGTGAGGTTTAGAGCACAATGCGCCATGACAGGTTAGAGCTAAAGGGATGGCGGGTCACTCTTTATTCTGCCGTGGTTACCTTCAACCCGTTTATTGAATGGAAAGGTGTTCTGGGGGAAGGTGAGAGAGTAACGTTTAGGCTTGCGACAAGGTCAAAGGAAAACCAGGCGAAAGTATGAGATTTAGGGTGAATTCAGGTAAAATGGGACACTTTTTGGCAAATATTAAACACAATGTGAAAAACACACTGACTTCCAAAACACTGGACATGCAGTTGCAAAAGTTTGAACACCCCCAGTCAAATGACATGTTCTGTTGATTTTCTGCATGAAAATAACACATCCTCTACAGGGAATGCACCTAAAAATGGCATTTTTTGATAATTTTAGTGACAATTTCTATTTATTTGCTGAGTTTAACATACTAAAAAAAGAAAAGATATAATGCCATAATGCCATAACCTTTGCACAGACCACATTTTTGGTTTTGTTTTCCCCCCAATATGTTAAATTCAGCAAATTAACAGTACTTGTGCATTAAAATAACCAGAAGTGTGTTCTCTGTAGAGGATGTGTTTACTTATTCTCACTTAGACATTCACCAAAACATGTCATTCAACCAGGGGCATACAACTGTAAGTGCCTGACTGAGGCAGCATAATAAAGTAAACAAAATAAGATATGAGCTATACAAAATAAGGTGTTGGTAGCTTCCAAAAACTTAAATCTCACCCCTTAGAATAACATTTCAAGCTAAGAAAACAGCAGAGACGTGTAATGGAGGAGACACTGGGGGAAATATGGATGGGAAAGCTCGTAACACTCAACATGGCGTCTGTTTACGAGGAAAGGCCCGCCCTTCAATAAAAAGAGCCAATCACCTTGCTGGTTATGCCGCTAGCAGGCGAAGCCACCCCGCACTATTGAGATCTTTGCAAGCACAGTAGCCAGTGTGCATTACTGGGCCAAATACTACAAACCGTTAATGAAGTTTTTGTCAGACTTTACCAGTAATTTTAAATATTTCTTTAAAACGATAATTTGACCCTTAGTTTCCATTTTATGTCTCATCCCATTCAAAGAGATAGGACCCTGGACTTGTATGGCAGGAAGTAACTGCCCAGCAACGTTGCATAGATGGCCACTAAGTGAACAGACTTTCTCATAAGGACTTTGAAAACAGTCTCTATTAGGGTAGTTTTTGCACTGTCTACGTATCGGTCAGCATCGTATTAATATAATAGACCCTCATTCCTCACGGTATTGCCCTGAGGTATCCCCCCTAATTTTCATTTGAGCCTGGATATGGTAATGTTATTGTTTCCTCTACACCTTAGCTCCTTTTTTTCTTTAAGAAATAATTTTGCTAAAAGTCTAATTTGCAAAAATTCCTCATAATCGCAAATGTAGTCAGTCAGCCAAGCCATGTGCGGTGCTGGGAGTGTGCTTCTTTAGTTTTTTAAGTGGCGCTAAGAGGCTA